CTCCAGAACGTGCCGCGTCTGGTTTGGGCCTAAGCATTTTCTAGGGGGCCGCCATACGTTCTTTTGTACAAGTCGTTGTTGATGACGCTATACTTGGCCGCCTGAATTCAAAGCTTCTTGGCTTCTTTTTTATCGTCTGGAAGCACTCCGTCCTGCAAATATGTGACAATATGATTGCGCTAGTCCCAAGTTAGGTTTATAGTTTGTAACTCGATTTGATCGACGAGTGGAGGAGAGTGACCACGTTCCCTTCTCCGGTTATGCTTTTAGTGGTAGCTGCCAGTTTGGCAAAGCCGTCTGCTTTGATATTCTGTGCTCATAGGATTTGGTCGAGCTGGAATTCGTCGAACTCGGGTAATAGCTTGCAGATCTCGGCCTGGTATTTTTGTAGTCTTTTTCCTTGATTTGGAAAGTCCTTGTGACTTGATTGATGACGAGTTGAGAGTCCCACCGTAGGACGACTTGCTTCACTCCGTACTTGAGTGCTAACTTTAGCCCTGCAATCACGACCTCGTACTCAGCTTCGTTGCTACTCATATCTGGGCATCTTATGAACTGGTGAATTACTTCGCCTATTGGGACCTCGAGCACAAGTCCCAGTCCCGATCCTGATGCGTTAAAGGCGCCATCAGTATACAAAACCCACATGTCAACTTCAGGCATTATTTTTGTGCTGAAGTCGGGGAGCACTTGCAACTTTATCGTCGTTCACGGCTGATAGGTTATATCGTGCTCGCTCAATTTTATGTCCCATTTGGCCAATCTGCCCGACAACTCGGGTTTATGCAGAATACTTCTTAGGGGAAAGGTCGTGACTACCGAGATGGGGTAGCACTGGAAATAGGGTATAAGCTTTCATGAAGCTACAACCAAAGCTAGGGCCAGCTTCTTGAGGTGTGGATACCTCGTCTCAGCGTCAACCACAATTTTGCTAATATAGTAAATGGGAGATTGCGTACCTTTGTTTTCTCGGACCAGGAGCGCACTCACGGCCAGGTAGATGAGGAGATGTTCCCTAGGTTCTACCTTAGCTAGTAGTGGGGGTGAAGATAGGTACGCCTTTAACTCTTTCAAGGCTTTGACGCACTCGGAGTTCCATTGGAGTCCATTGTCTTTCTTGAGTACACCAAAAAATTTATGGCATCTGTCGGAGGACAGTGAGATAAATCTCGATAGGGCGGCTATGCGACTGGTTAGCTTCTGTACTTGTTTCTTACTAGTTAGGTTCTCCGGTATTCCTTCTATGACTTTGATTTGGTCGGGGTTGACCTCGATGCCTCATTATAATACCAAGAAGCCGAGGAACTCTCCCGAGATTACGTCGAAGGCGCACTTTTTAGGGTTCAATTTCATACAGTATCGTGCGAATATGTCGAAGGCCTTTTTTAAGTGGTCAATGTGATTCTCTTTCCTTTTTGACTTGATTAACATGTCGTCGATGTAGACTTCCATGGTTTTTCCGAGCTGGTCTTTGAACATTTTTATCACCAACCTCTGATATGTCGCCCCCGCGTTTTTCAGTCCGAAAGGCATCATTATATAGCAGTATGTCCCATGGTGAGTGATGAAAGTGGTCTTTTCTTGGTCTTCCTCCTCCATGAGGATTTGGTTATAGCCCGAGTAGGCATCCAAAAAGCTTAATAGCTCGTGCCCGGCTATTGCATCAATGAGCTGGTCGATATGGGGTAGTGGAATGAGTCATTCGGGCAGGCTTTGTTAAGATCTGTGAAGTCTACACACATCCGCCACTTCCTATTCTTCTTTTTCACCATGACCACATTGGTGACCCATTGAGGGTACTTCGATTCTCTGATAAAGCCATTTTCTAGCAGTTTTTCAACCTCCTCGCGGATCACGTCATTTATTGCGGAGTTGAATTTCCGCCTAACTTGCCGCACTAGGGGGTAAAATGGGTCGACGTTCAACTTGTGTGTTGCTATCTCTTTCGGGACGCCCGACATATTTGCATGGGAAAAGGCAAATAAGTCTGTGTTGTTAGCTAAAAATTGATGGAATTTACCTGATTCCTAAAGTTTGTGGCTGATGTAGGCTTTTTTGCTGTGCTCGTCTTCGTTGAGTTGTACAGGGTCGAGATCCTCCACAATCGATCCCGTGGCCTCTATGATTTCAGAGTCCCTGATGACATCTTTCCCTTCATTATCACCTGACCCCTACCTTGTTAATTGATATTCTGCCTCTTTTTTGCTTTTTAACTATTGGGTGTATGTGCAGTCTTGGGCGATGCAGTAGCATTCTCGGGCAATGTATTGCTCTCCTCGAATGTTGAATACCCCTCAAGGGGTGGGAAATTTGATGACTTGATATAAGGTGGAGGGGACGACTTTCATGGCGTTGTACACCGTATCCTGGTCCATGATATGGAACGTGATCTCCAAGGTGACGCCATCGGCCAGGACTGGTAGCGTGATTTCTCTAGACGTTCGCTTAACCGCATTGTTAAAACCCGTTAGTGTGATACAACATGGCACTATCCTAACCTTGAGCTTCATTTGTACGAGAACTCGAGGGTGGACAATGCACGCACCGCTCCCATTATCGACCATAATACATTTTACGTCAGTATCTAAGATGCGTAAGGTAATAACAAGGGCGTCATAATGAGAAAAGACCAAATCGTGGGTATCCGACTTATCGAAGATGATACTCTCTTCAAGATCGTCATACCGTTCTTGAGTAATTGATCGTTTCAGCTTGTGGGTGGTCGTGAATTTTACGTTGTTGATTGACGAGTCGTCGCCTCCTCCGATGATCATTTGGATGGTTTGAGTTGGGGAGGGTAGTTTTGGTGGACCCTGATGTTGTTCGTGTCCTCGAGCCAAGTTTGTCCTTCCTTAATCACTCAAAAGTTCCTTTAGATGTCCTTGGTGAGGCATGTTCACGACCTCTTGCTTGAGAGTGATGCAGTCCTCAATTTTGTGCCCCCATGCCTGATGGAACTTGCAGAGGGCATTTGACTTTCTTGTGTTTGGGTCGGACTTCATCTTTTGCGGCCATTTCACTTTTGGGTCGGGCTTCTCCGGGGTGTAGACTATTTCTTAGGGAGATACATAGCAGTCCTCAATTTTGTGCCCCCGTGCCTGATGGAACTCACAGAGGGCATTTGACTTTCTTGTGTTTGGGTCGGACTTTATCTTTTGCGGCCATTTCAATTTTGGGCTAGGCTTCTTCGGGGTGTAGACTATTTCTAAGGGAGATACATAGAAATTGTGAGCAGATAGAAGTGGAGACATACCTCTTTCACTTTGGTGAGTCCCTGTTGGCGGCCTAGATGGACCGTCGCCATGACGGGGAGGTGGTATGATGGCGATTCTGGCATATGGTTGATGTCTTTCACGGTTGAGTCACGGACCTGCATGGTCCTTTCTGATGTCATTTCTTCAGTCTTTCCTGGATTCCATTTGGACTGAGGTTAGCCGTTGAGTTGGCTTATTGAGGTCATCCTCGTCAGCTCGCACTTCGGTGCAGTAAGCGTTGCGTATCTCGTCCCAAGTGGTTGGGGATATTTCATGAGTCGGCTTAACAATTTTCTGATCGCCCTCGAACCGTTCCTTTTTAACCCGTTCTGGAAAGCTGCCACTGCAAAGGTCATCCTCACACGATTGAATCGGGCAAGGAAATCTCTTAGTCCTTCACCAGGTGATTGTTTGATGGCAAATATGTCATTCACCCTTGCCTTTGCTTTCTCAGCTCCGGCATGGGTAGTCACAAACTTGTTGGCCATTTCCTCAAATATTTCGATTGAGCATGCAGGCAACTGTGAATACCAAGTTAGTCCTCTCCTAGTGAGGGTTTCGCCGAACTTCTTCAGTAATATGGAAGACACTTGTTCTTTGGCAAGGTCGTTGCCTTTTACTACTATGACATAGTGGGTCACATGATCCTCAGGGTTCGTCGTGCGATCGTATATTTTCAAGTATGACTGCATTTTGAAGGTTTTAGGTATGGCGTGTGGTGCAACTTATTCATTGTACGGTTGCTCAACGAACCGACCGGCGTCCCTTTTTGATAAGAGTTTTGGGGTGCTTGGTATTTTGTCCACCCTTTCTTGATGCTCTTTCATTTGGTCACAGAGCATTTTGTTCTTGTTCTCCATCTCCTCCATCTTTCTCAAAATGGCTGTGAGGGTATCGTTACCTGTATCACTAACGTTTTAAGTAATACCTATCATAAGAGGAGGGCCGTGCTGCTCGTCTATGACTGGTGTGATGTAGACTCTCGTAGTTTCTTTGTTCATCCTTTGGGTGGGCTTGTCAAGAATGTTGGTTAGAGTGTTTGTCAACCACACCTCGAGCAGCTTTTTCACTGCTGGTGATGCACTTTGCGTTGTGGATGTAGAGCCCCCTTTACCGAGTGAGGTTGTGATGCTGCCATGAGGAGGGGGCGAGCTGTTTCACCGGGGAGATGACGTCTTCGCCCTCCGTTTTACCGACTTCATTGATGGTATTGAAGAGATTAGCGGTGAGGTCGGCTATCGTTTTCCTCTTTTTCTCTCCATTACCTGCCATGTTAGATTTGTATGCACAAGGAAGTGTCGTGTTTTTTGCATTTTTTTTGTTATAAATCTAGAGGAAAATAAAATTTTAACTAGAAAATTCCCACAGACGACACCAAATTTGTTTGACCAAAAAGCATAAATTTTTTTGTTAAACTAATTAAGTAAAGAGATAAGGGGCTAATCCTAATTAAAGATAATAACCTCGGATCTAAAACAGGTTTATGTGAATAACGCGAGGACCATGTGAAAATGGATTTAATGTAGCACAAATTAAATGCTACGGTTTACTAATAGAAAGAGGATAATGATAAACAATAAATACAATAAATGACACTAAATGTAAATAAGGATGAAGATTCACCCAATATTGAATGAGGGAACGATTCCTTCCTCTGACAATGATGAATGACAAGAATATAAGGGAATATTGGGCACTTTCTCGGACCAGTGGAAATGACAATGAATGAGCTAAAAAGATCGAATCTCTTTAGAAAATTGTTCTTTTTATTATCTAGAGAGCTCACTTTCGAAAGTTTTCTTATCATATGGAATATTACATGCCTTTTGCATTATCTTTCCTCTTATTTATATGGGGTATTCCCAAAGAACCCTAAAAGGTACAAACAGAGAGAATATTCAACAGAATATTCCTTTTGTTGGTTCCAAAGCTATACTAGTCGTTACTTCTGTCCATGCTGCTCGACCTCGACCTTGATGAACCACTCAGCAGCTACTTCTGTTGACCACTGATCGACCTCGGTCAAACTGCCCATATTAATTTGCAGGTCACTCATGATAATCGTCTCATGCGTATCAAATTTTTCTAGTTCGATTTTGACCCATCCAAAGATCACCACAAAGAATCTGCTTGCAAAGTCCATTGATCATTGTGAAAACTGACTGTTGGCTTTTCATCGCAGTAAATGATAAAGGGGCTTTCATGATTGTGTTTTCCTTCATATGTTGTTATCAAATAGCTGGAATCAATTCCATCTCTTTCCACCTTCTTCTTTACCTTGCAACCTCCACTTGAACACTTGTAGTAATTCCTGTTTAATTGGTTTCCCCATTTTGTTAGTGCATTTCTGATGTTGTATTCCCTATTGAGATACATATTTCATTTATTTGTTATTTCATCTTAAGGTGAAAAGATAAAAGAAGAGCAAAAGAAAAACAAAGAACTATACATCATTTCCGAGCAATATTAGTTGAGATCGACCTTATAAATTCTTACGATTCATGTTACGTCATTTAAACATGTCTTGGTCCAATATTACAAAAACTATAGGTTTTTCAAGCACCACAAGTACTTTTTTGCATTTTTCACTAGTATATATGTCTCAGACAAGGCTAAAAACTCCTAACAAACGTTGGATCAATCTAAGTAGACGTAATAACATATTATTAAAACATAGTTTTTGAATCAATTATTATCACCTCTATAGATATTTTTTGTTCATTGTGCCATAGTTTTAATTAGTTTTGCATAAAGAGACATTAAATCTTTCGAAATAATTTCATTACCTAGGCAACATAAAATAAAAGGTTAAAAAAGTGTAGGTCAAAGAATCTAAAATTTATAACAAAAAGATATCGGAATAAATTCGATAGGAACCGACAAGAATAAATGAAGCAGATGTTAGCTGGGGATAATCTGCATCAGTCAGTCGCTGACTTGGTGCTCCAAGTCTTCAATATATCCATTTTGAATTACAAGTCGGTCGTTAAGAATATCGCCTCGCTATCACCTTTAAGGCTTTAATTATGTCTTATTCATATTGTGTGTCAGCTATAGCGCTAGAAGTGTACCAGCCTAACTCAGTAATTTTAATTCAAATAATATAATTATATTAAAAAATATCACTAAATATGTACAAAAATTAATTTTAAAAATCAGTTACTAACATATGATATTGCGCTATTGTGAATTATATTTTAGAATGCATAAAGTTCATATCTTGGCTCCATCTCGATGTGCGTTGTGGGAGTTTCTGGGAGGAAAGGGTATGAAAAAGACCATTTCCAAAGTCAAGTGACTCAAGCGCAGTCTAATTAGACCATATTTTTGTGATATATAATAGGACCAGTTTAGATATGTGTGCGTGTGTATATTAAAAAGGGATATTTTATCACTTTTAGCCATGCCAGAAATTATTTACATTCGATAGTCGAAAAGTTATATAAAAGTTGTATGCTTTTTGTATATAGCATACAGAATGTATATTATACAAAAATTATACAAAAAATATATTTTTTCGACTATTATTTTGAGAGCATCTATACAATGTCATTTTCCCTATTAAAAAAAGGTACATCCTTTCACTTTCTCAATATTTGTGTGTCCGGATTGTGAAAAATTGAATTTTAATCAAGTTTGAGATTCTAATCTTAGCAATTGTTGGTTAATTAACAAACACATACATGAAAGACTTCTAGCACCCAATAATTGGCTTTTATATATTTAGTGTGCGTACAATCCTTGAATATTTCTGAAATAATCCACCTTCAAAACCAAAAGTAATAATATATATAATTTACGAGTATTTAGACAGAATTTGCACCAAAACATTAAAATGATTATCGTGTTGATATAGACGATCGTCACGCAAGCTAGAGCTCAGAATTTTGATATATTTACCTTGGATTTGTGTTACTTTTCACCTTCTTTTTTCCATATTTCCTCCATTTGTATCCATCATCCAAGGTCTCAAGCTCGGTCTTTGTTCTAAAAGCAATTGCATGTTTTTCAGCCTTCTTTTCTTTCTCTATCCCCTTATTGCTTGAATTTCTTTAAAACATCAACATCAAACAAACAAGTAAATAAATAATTAAATATATAAACCATTAAAATCATCAATGAATAATTATCAATATCCTCCAGAATTATCACCCTTAGTTTAGTAGTAGTGACTTACTCATTCATGTGAATATTTGTTGGTGTGGCATCAAATGAACTAGCTGATGAGTTTCCACTATAGGTACTAGTGCTTATCTCTTGTTGCATGAAAGGATTTTGGGAATAAAGTGAAGTACTATTAAAGCTGTTATTTGAGCTGGAATATTCTTCACCATCATTAATCAACTGATCAATAAACGAAGTGTCAAAATCTTGATACATATTGTGGCCATGATCTTGATTCATATTGATGAGAGGAGAAAAGGCAAAATTAGGGTTTATAGTTTGATGAGAAATATTGCTTGTTTCTTGGAAAGTGGAAGAGCCAAACATGGTTTAATTTGAGAAGAAGCCAATTAACAAAGACTTTTTAGAGTCTCTCTAAATAGAATGGATGATGTGGTTGTATTTAATAATTTGATAGTGTGGTTTTATATAGTATTATAGATTGTGTGGTGAATTTTTGTCTTTGGACATGAGCTTCCTTATCACCTTCCTAGCAGTATCTATGGAGTTTCTTTACCTTTTTTATGTGTCGCTCTTCTTGTGTCATCATATGACGAAATAATTGAACAGGTTAAGTTTGGAACTTCTTTTGTCCTTTTGTGCATATTTAAAAAGTCTGAATTAATAACAACGGATATATACCTTTTTCATTGCAGAATTTGATGCCTTATTTTTGTTATGACGGTGGTTTCGCTAAGCTTATATTTTATGTACGCCTCAACTATTTTATTATGTATTTGTTACTTTTTATTAGGATAGGCATCGATAGCCCTACAAATCAAAGCTTAATTAGGTAGAATGTGATGCCTTATTATATGCTGTTTACACAAATAAAGGTTATCAACTAATAGTAATTTGTTTTTATTATAGTTGCATGATCGGATGCCATTTATACAAAGGAACTTATGTAGTTATGCGACGTCCTAAGGTTGACTATTTAGTGTAATTTTTTAATAGGTAACTTGTTATGGAATGGAGTGAAAGAAATTAGGGGCATTTGTATCTATATTCATTTTTGGGCCACGTTTTAACTTGTGTTCGCTTTGTAAAAAAAATTGCAAGCGTACCCACTTTTTCGCGTAACTTCAGCATACGGGGCTGAAGTAGCAAAGGCAATCACGCAAAACTTCAGCATTTAGTAGACGAGACTGAAGTAGCAAGTGTGCTGAAGTTTTTGTTTTAATTGCTGAAGTTTTTGTTTTTGTAACTGGCGAACTTCAGCTCTAGAGCTGAAGTTTTTGTTTTGTAACTGGCGAACTCAGCTCTAGAGCTAAAGTTTTTGTTTTTGTAACTGGCGAGCTTCAGCTCTAGAGCTGAAGTTTTTGTTTGTAACTGGTGAACTTCAGCTCTAGCGTCTTCTTCCCTTCATAATGATACAACCATTTCTGCTCTAGCTTCGAGAAGATTTCCAGCGTCATCTTACTGAAGTCCATCACTGAACATTGAAACAAGCAATGAAAGTAATTTACTGTACTGATGGATTATGCAACAGTTAATGGAAACTGCTCTCGATGAAACGAAAACGTTGTGGTATGACATCCCAATATTTGAAGAATAGAAGAATTACAATAAGACTTGACACCAATATGCTGCTGCTAATGCCATGCATTATCAAATAGGATCTGTAGCTGCATCATTTAACAGATCATCTATTGCCACCATTCAATCATGCAACAAGACTTCGATATTCTTCGGAGAGGCATTTATGATGCAAAATTGCACTATATATTCCTATTTTTTTCTTATTTATTTCTTCTGCACTGATAGAAATACAATCTGTGCAGTGCGACTTCAGAAAGAGGTTGAAGGCGGATATAACTTTGAGAAAAATGGGTATAGGTTAAATGGAGGCGACCAAATAGGGCGCCCCGTACAATTTTTACAAAAAATTAAGAGCCCGTTTGCATAAGAAATTTTTTTCTTTTTTTTTTTCGAAAAATTTTCACTTTTTTTCGAAATCAGCGTTTGTTCATAAAGTTTTCAATTTTTATTTGAAGATGCATTTTGGAATTTTATGAAAATTTGAAAAACTCCAAAAAGTTGTTTTTCAAAATTTTCACTCGGATCACTCACAAAACTTCAAAAACAATCCAAAATTATATTCATGTCCAAACACAACTCTAATTTTTAAATACAATTTTCACTTAATTTTTTCTTTTTTTAAAATTTTACAATTCTTATGTCCAAACGCCCACTAAGTTTTTCGTTTACATTGTAGATCAATATAACACAATATCCATTACATCCCACGAGTTGCATTTTAATAACATTAAAAATCTAACAAGTCAAATAATTATTTGATTCTTCAGTAGTGTACAATACATACATTAGGGAAAAGATAGCGTATCTCCAGTTTTTATCACTTGGTAGTGTTTCTCACCCTGTATGTACAATTCTTCTTGGAAATAATCTTTTCCTATTTTTTTTTAAACTGACAGGTGAAAAAAAATTAACATGTGATACAATTGTGTATGGGGACCGTTATGTTTTTCATGTTATTTACGGTCAAAAGCATATGCCTCCGACTTATAAGCTCGAGGGTCCGTCCTAAGCCCGAGCCCGGGCAAGGTCAAGTTCGAGCTCGACGGATCAGACTCGAGCTTGAAGACAGAATGCAATGCCCGGAGATAGGAGTACGAGGAATACCGAAGCTGAGTATGCTCGACCCCGAAATTGTACCGTTATGGATTTGTAACAGAATAAACTAGATTCCTGCCATGTCCCCAAAATCATGGCGCAAATCCCGAAATAGGATTTTACGATTCAGTACTAGGCGATTAGACAGTTGTATCAAGAATATTCCTTACTATAAATAGAAATATACCTTATTTAGGGTTCCCCTATTATATAAAGGGGACCCAAATCATTTTGTAAGATCATCTAATCATTTGGCAAGAATATTATCATACTTTTCTCTCTTACTGTTCATCAGAATTGTCCTTTACATTTATTGTTCTTGCTTTATTGCTCTTAGTTCATCTCGAGGTCACTAAGCTCGAGGTCACTACTGCTGAGTAACATTGGTTTGATTCACTTATTTCTTTCATTTCTACTTCATATTTCTTGATTATTAATTGGTATTAAACTAAATCGCATATCTTTAAAACCACTAATCAAATTTAATTGTTACTCGTATTTTCGAGGTAAACAGTTTGGTGCCCACCATGGGGCTAAAGATAATAGTGATACTGATTCTCACTACACGCGTTGTTTTTACACTTTTTCTTGTCAAGATTTTTTGATTCTCAGGGTGAAACATGTCTAGCTCACAAAACGCACCTGTTCATGACAACGAAGGTCTTGGAGAAAATAACAATACAGGGGTCGGTGTACCACCGATAAACCTAGGAGAAGTGCCAAATATGGAACAGTTGATGTTATTTCACACGTTGCTCTAAACACGGATTTAGGCATAGACCCCGGAGAAAATGCGCATGGAAGCCCGACCTGGTGGCCAAAGGGGAATCAGCCTCCAAGTGATATTCGAGATGCTGCAAGCACAGCAGATCGCCATTGCTCAACTTCAAAGTCAGAATAAGACTCCGAGTGTAGCTAAACATGAAAACACTCGACGTGCTGAACTAATGCCAGAGAGGTCGAATAAAAGTGACTCGGGGACTGACCCTACCATTATAAGGATGCTCGAAGAGCTTACCAAGAGGCTCGAGTCTGAGGAAAAGAAGATTGAGGACAATGACAAAAAGGTGGAGACTTATAGCTCCCGTGTTGACCAAATACCGAGGGGAACCTCCAATTTTGAAAGGTTTAGATGCCAAAAAGTTCATACAAAAACCATTCCCTCAGAGCGCAGCTCCGATGCCTATTCCCAAAAAAATTTGCATGCCCGATATACCCAAATATAATGGGACTACCGACCCTAACGAGCATATTACTTTATATACTTATGGGATCAAAGGAAATGACTTAAATGACGATGAGATCAAATCAGTATTATTAAAAAAGTTTGGGGAAACATTGTCGAAAGGAGCCATGATTTGGTACCATAACTTGCCTCCTAATTCAATTGATTCGTTTGCTATATTAGCAGTCGCCTTCGTGAAAGCCCACGCCGGGGCCATAAAGGTGGCCACGAGAAAATCAGACGTATTCAAGATAAAACAGAGGAACGATGAGATGTTAAGGGAGTTCGTGTCTAGGTTCCAGATGGAGCGAATGGATTTACCACCGGGCTCGGATGACTGGGCAGTACAAGCTTTTATGTAGGGTTTGAATGAAAGGAGTTCGATTGCGTCTCGACAACTAAAGTAGAACTTGATTGAGTATCCAAGTGTGACATGGTCAGATGTGCACAACCATTACCAATCAAAAATCAGGGTCGAGGACGACCAGTTGGGAGCTCCCTCAGGTTCATTTCATCCTAACAGATTCGCAGCCAAGCCCCCAAGGGATGCACACAGGGAATTGCGATAGAACAAGGAACGATATAGGCCATACGTTGATCGAGAAAAAATGGCTCGCGCAGTAAAGCCCCTCGAAATGATCGGAGAAACAATCGAGGCCAAAGTTCTTGAGGACTCATGAGTAAGAGCGGGTTCGATAAGCATACTAACCCCACAGAGGATCCTCGTTTGTCAGAATTTAACTTCAGTGTAGATGCACCAGGGATCATGTCAGCTATTTTAAGGATCAAAGACACGAGGTGGCCTAGGCCCATACAAACTGATCCTTCTCAAAGGAACCCAAACTTGATGTGCACGCATCATGGCACACATGGTCATAAAATCGAAGATTGCAGGTAGCTAAGGGAAGAAGTGGCTCGATTGTTCAATGAAGGTCACCTTCGAGAATTCCCCAGTGATCGAGCCAAGAATCACCTCAGGGAAAGAGATGCAAAGAAAAATGAGCAAGAAGAACCACAACATGTAATCCACATGATCGTTGGTGGAGTCGATGTCCCCCAACGACTTGTATTCAAGCGCACCAAGGTATCAATCACCAGAGAAAAACGAACTCAGAGCTATGTGCCCGAGGAAGCCTTATCATTCTATGACGAAGAAGCAGAAGGCGTATCTCAGCCACACAACGATGCCCTGGTAATTTCTATCCTTTTAAATAAAATTCAAGTTAAACGTGTTTTAGTGGATCCAGGTAGCTTAGCATAAATAATAAGATCAAGGGTCGTAGAACAACTCAGCCTGCAAGGTCAGATCGTACCTGCATCCCGGTCCTAAATGGCTTCACATGGCAAGCGAAACGACAAAGGGAGAGATTATCCTGCTAGCAAATGTATCCAGGACCATACAAGATACAAAGTTCCATGTCATCGATGTCACACCCCTTTTTTACAAGCCTCACTTAACCCTCTTAAATAAATAAAAAGATTTCGCAAAGCTCGAAAGGGTTTTTCAATTTTGAAAGTGACAAATGACAGTGTTCAAAAGGATTTACTCAGAGTC